AATGTGGGAAATATTTGCAGGTCATCCACCATTTGACAATAGAGCTCACAATCATCGTTTGATTTTTGATATATGTGCAGAAGGTTTACGACCACCAATATTACCTAGAATGCCTGAAGATTATGCACAAATGATGCAGAAGTGTTGGGATGTGGATCCATCAAAAAGACCAACTAGTGAAGAGCTTCTCCGATTTGCTAGAGATAAACGTAATGAAATTTATGAAAATAAAAGCTTGAAAAATAATAATAGTAACAATAGTTTAATAAAAAGATTATTCAAATTTTCTAAAATCAAAAAACATGATTTTAATAATGATGGTAGCAACAGTAGTGGTGACGGTAGTGATTCGCAACAAGTACACAAATCACACCCAGATGCATATCATAAAAGTAGGATATTAGATGAAGAGATTGTTAAATCAAAAAGCTTGAAAATTTATACAAGTAATGATAGTTCATTAAATAGTCTTGATTTTAGCTCTTTTCTCTTAAATGTTGAAGGTGAACAAAAATTCATTATTAATTGATTAATCGGAACTTACTATCCATTAATTATTACTAACAACATTTTTTAATTCTAACAATTAAAAGAAAGAATCAATGAATGACTAATTTAATCTCCTAAATTATTTGTTATAATTATTTGTCTATATTTATCTATTTTTTTATTTTTTTTATTTTGAAATAATCACTGCAATAAGGAAGGATAAAGATAAAAATGGAAGATTAAAGGTTTATTATTGCAAAGTAACTTAATCAATCAATATAACTATTATAAAATCAAATTGTCTTTCATATATACGAGTTATGTTTTTGACTTTGAAGTTAACTACAGAACTACACGTAATAATAATATTAATAATGTGCTTGAGTTGTCTTTAGTGTCTGAGTTTGAAGCAACATAAGTTGATTAATATTGGTACTTAGAATGACCTTTACATACCACATAAAACAGATATTTTTGAGAATGTTGAATTTCTTTTATTGATAAATCTATCACTAGAGTTTGATTGTGATGAAGTTGTTCTTTAAATAATGCAATTTTCAGATTTTCTTTTATATCTATCATAACTATCATATGCTATGCAAGTATTATAGCATTTAGGACATATTCTTTCGCCTATACTTAATTCATAATTCCTTGCTAGTTTAGGCTTTTTTCCCTTGTTCTGAAGCATTTCACCACTTGGAGTCGTCTTTTTCTATTTTGCAAACGGAACAAAAACCAACAGCATTTTAGTAATGACTTGCAAATGTTGAAGTGAAAAGAGTATGAAAGATGATCGACACAATATAAATGATATAAAAGGAATGTCCACATGTTAAATACCCAATATTTTAAAAGCGCGATGTCGATCATTACTCTTATTAATATCAGACTTTTATCACAAGAAATTTCACACATTATTTTGTAAAGATGGCAAATAAATCTAAAGATCAAGAAATTGTCGTATTGATTGTTGGCGGTGTGAGGGTTGGTTTTTTTTCATTAGTTTTCTTAATATTATTAATTTATGAATTTATTGATTACTACTATTATTATTATTATTATTATTATAAATTCATATAAACAAATTTATTCATTTATCCAACAGTATCAAACATTTCGTTCGACACTTACAACATATCCTGATACATTATTAGGAACAATGTTTCAAGAAAGGAATAAAGATTTGCTTCATCCGGCCAATAACAATGAATATTTTTTTGATCGTAATGGTTATGCATTTCATTACATCATGGAATTTTATCGGACAGGAATAATAAATTGGCCAAAAGAAATTAATCATATTCATAATGATAATGATGATAATAATAATCAGACTATTAATAATACTAATAATAATAATTCTCAATTTTTTTATCATGTTACAAGAAGAGAATTGGAATTAGAATTAGATTACTTTCAAATTCCAGTTGAAAACGTAAAGATTGATTGGTTAATTCAAAATGCTAGTAACAATGTTGATAAATTTGTTGAAATTTTTGAAAAATTAATCGAAGAACATTATGGACTTTTTATAGATAGGATCATTCTAAGGTTTTATGAAACAGGTTATATTTTATATGAAAATATTGTGTACAAACATCAAATTCACACTTTTAAACATTTAGCAGAAATGAAAATAAATTATTTTAATCTATTGAACATTATGGGAAAACAATTAGCTTGTTATTTTCAATCTAAATATTCAGAGATCAAACTGAATTGGCGTTGTTACAGAGCAATAGATTTTAATAGGAATAGCACACAACTTTATAAAAATATTTATATGAAGCTTCAAATAAATTTTACTATCAATTCAAGCAAAATTAAGGATAATTCATGTATTAGATAGATAAAATGGATTTAACATCAACAAATACGAATATGCTCTCTCTTTTTTCGCTCAAACATTGTTTTTTTTTTTTAAACGTATAAGTGAAACAAAATTAATTGTTATTAGAAATTTAAATAAAAATCAGACATATATGCAAATTTATATATTTTAATAGCTTGTCCAAAATTTCAATGGGAACAAATCTCTCATTGTTCAAAAGTTGCAAATCACTTAAAAGATTTTGTTAATTAGCAATTACTCTAGCATCTCATTGTACTATTTAAATAATCAATAAGGCGAAACTTTATATATGTAGAACAAAAAATTAAAAAATTTTTATCTGTAATAGCAAGTCATAGTAATAATTGATTTTTATATTCTGAAAAATCATCATCTTGTAAACCTTCTCTAAACATCTTACGTTTGGAAAAACTTTTTTAATCATATTTCAACTGATACTAAACTTTTAGCTTATGGCCATTTTTCAAAATTCTAATAATAACAAAAGAAACTATTTAATATTCTTTTTTTTTTAATAAAGAAAATAAAAAAGTTTCCATTACTTACCAAAGCCAATACACCATCATACTTTAAAGTTCAATTGATAATAATGTAGATGGAACTAATCACCAGTAAATACATCACACAACATGGCACATAATCATAATGTCGACTAAATATTGTGTTTACGTTGTAATCCAAAAAAATATCCAACATACTCTTATATTACTGGATCAAGCTCACTATATTAATGCCTAATGCCACTCTATGTAATTGTAATGGTTTCTGTGAAACTCTAACTCCCAATCAACAAAGATCAGTTGTTAGCAGAATACATGTATACCTCACAAATATAATAGGAAGATAATTACCTTCAATGATAGCATCTTTGCAGCAACCTTTGTCAATTTGGGTAGTGATATTATTATCTCTTCTGGTATATCAAAATCCATAATCAAAAAAGCTATTGGTTTCAAGTTTGCTCATTAAAAAAACCATTTCCAATAGTAAAGAAAACAATTGAGGCTATTTTACATACATGCATCTGTAAAGCTCTACTGCAGCTTCTATTTTCAACAACCCAACCGATAAAAGATAGTTAAAAATAGTTGATTATTTTGCATTCCATAAACAGAATCAAAAATATTCCTCCTAACGATGAATGACCAGCACACATTACATGCGTATGATAAGGCCTGTTTGTTTCAACTATACTAATCCAACCAGTAATTAATTCATTACTAAATTTTAAATGATGATTTTTATAGCACATCAAAGAATAAAACCTGAATTATATTTTATCAAAAGCATTTTTCTTTAACCTGCATTTTCAACCAAATTAACCTCATCATATATACTATTCAAATTCTTAAATAAGGTAGCCTACCTATCAATGCCAACACTAAACCTGCAAAACTTAATCGATGACAAGGTAAAAACGCTATAAATAACATAGATAAGCATTTGTAGAATAGAAACATCCATTAGATCCATCCAAAAATTCTTCTCTAGATAATCTTGCACAAACAATTAATTTCATTAAAAAATCCCAACGAAAATATGCTAAACCAAGTCGGAATCACATATACGGACCTAGTAGACTACTTAATTTAAATAGTAATTTAACCATTAATGATTGTTGAAAATGAAAATATTAATCCACACAATAGCCAATTCCTAACTAATACGATTTCGTTTGTTATTTTTTTGGTCACAAACTGTCGATGAACAAGTTTTAATTTTCCAATTCCACCGACAGATACACCAAAAATAAATGGAAAGCCATACATTTCCATAAAACAGGCTCTACATAACGAGGTGAGACTTGGAGAACTATTGATAATAGAATTGGTGTTATCAATAACAAAGTTGCACGAAGCAATGCCTATAATTAAGTTGTAGAAGCAATATAAGTTCTTTTTTTTTTCCGAGATTCTCTATTTGTTGTAATCAATAATAAAAAAACTTGAATATATATAATTTGGTTCATATAATTACTTAATTCATAAATTCCGTAATTTTCGTGTTACATACAACGTGAAAGCAGAAACTATAATCCATTCAATCGATTAACGGAATCGACGGATGTTACGATACACATTAGAATTCTGATATGTTTTCCTGGTTTGTACTGGTTTGCAGTTGAAATTCAACGCTGTTTATTATTACATATCATATAGCTTAAAGACACCACCCTATTACCTTGAATTTTTTTTGAAAATTACTTTTTAAAAATATATTCCGTGTAACATTCTGAGCCATATAAAATAAATTCAACCAATAAGTTTTGAAACCAAGGTCATAACATATATATTAACCGAAATTGAACATGGAACAATAACCAGAGTTCTGCAATTCAGATTCGGTGATTATCATTTATTAAAACTATGGTCATAAACGGTTAGCATTTTTGAAATTGATGGATGATTTGTATATATATATTCAGTGGTACAAAGTAATGGACACCGCCGCCGATATATTTGTGATTGATTGTTTAATTTATCTTAAATCATGTTCTAAAATTTTTTAATTAACAATGAAATATCGAGGTTTTTTTTTGCATAATGATATTATAGTCCAATAGTCTAATAAAAAGTTTTGGATAAATTTAATATTGTTTTTTTTGATTATAGACGATCTGAACCCTCCTCCCCCTCCACATTCATAATCACGTATTTTCTGGCCCTTTTCCTTATCACACTTTGTTGTACATTGAAATTTTTGGTTACATCAATATATATTTTCCTTTTTGCATATTTAATAAATTTAATAAAATTAATAAATAAAAAACAAAAGGAAGCAAAAATCATAAGATCGTACTATCTAATAGATTCATTCATTTACCAGAAAAAAATATTTATTATATCCTTAAAAAAAAACATTTATTTTTTTAATAAATTTTTTTAAAAAAAAAAAATTTTTTTAGAATCAATATTCCCAATAAAACATTAAAAATGTCTACAACCTCATTAAGTTCCTACTCAAGAAGAAAACCAGTCCCAAACCCAGATAGAGATTTTGGAGGTAATAACAATAACAATAACAGTAATAATAATCCGACAGGAGATTTAAATTTCTTAAATCAAGCTCCTAAAGCACCAGTAAAATCACCTTTGAGAAGTTCTGGTTCTAATGTTAACATACCCATAACTGGCTCAACGCAAACTACAATTGTACAACCAGTTATTAGTACAATGGCAATAACTTCTACCTCTCAACCAGTTACAATCATAAAACCAAAACCTTTAAAATCAACTCCTTCCATTGACACAAACTCTATCAAATCTCATAATAGTCGTGACCGGGTTTTACCAGCCATACCTTCTCCTGACAGTGGTAGTGAATACGAAGAATCTGTAAAGTCTGTAAAAAGGCGTGATTCCATAAATAGTTATAATACCATTGCCTCACCAACTACACAAAGTTTATATGAAAACTCTTTAATATCATCCTCACCTACTTCAACAGGAAAAGTTAAATTGCCTACTTTAGCTATTGCAAACGATATACTTGCTAATTCAGAAGCTATGTTGACTACTAGCAATCAAAGATTTACTTCAATGTCTTTTCTAGATACTACTGATGAAATGCTGCTGCAACTGTTAGTTTCTCAAGCTATAATCGATTCAAAAGGATTTGACCTACTAAGTTTGGAAGAAGTAGAAGAACTAAAAAAGGTTTGTTAATAAATAAATAAATATTAGGTGATATATATTTTTTTTAATCTCGAAATTTTAATTGTGGAATGGATTTATTTGAATTAAAAAAAAAAAAAAGCAAATTTTTGTTTTTAATTGTAGTGCTAGAGTTAGATTATATTAATGTTTAAAATTTTTTGATTTACTATTTATTTGAGTTGTTAGGCACACCCTTTTATATATTCATCAACAACAGTGAATTAATTAGTATTAATACATGAAATTTGCAATTTGAATAAAATCCATCCTGCAAAAAAAATTTTTTTTTATTTGACAGTCACATCTCATTCATTTCTTTTTTTAATCAAAAAAAAAAAATTTTTTTTTTCGTTATATTCTGTAGGATTACACTGTGTTAACAACACGCATTGCAGCCTTAACAGCCAAACTATCGCTTGAATCAAAAATTCGTGAAGCTGCTAGCTCATTAGCAAAACTTCATGCTTCTAACAAACGAATATCAAGGCAAGCAACAGATCATTTAATGCAAGCAAATCGTAAAGTTGATCAGGTAGCTGCTGAATTATGGAAACTCACACAAAGAGCTGGTGACATACAAAGGAAATTATTACAGCATATGTCCGGAGTACTTAGTTTAGGAATAACAAGGCTAGAAGGAAAGCCAACACGATCACAATCTATACAATTAGTAAATTCATTGTCCACTATGCCAAATAGCAATGATAGCAATAACATTGATGTGTTGTATAATGAATTAATAGCATTAAATGATAGTAGATCATCAGATCAAGTTTCGAGTTTAGAAGCTTCATTACAGAGTGTGCGTCAATCGTTATCAGAGGCAAAAAATTTGATAAAAAGAAAAGACAAAGAAATCGAGGATTTAAGGGCGAAATTTAATGATGCGAGCGCTGGAGAGCACGAAGGAATTCAAAAAATCAAAGTAATCGAATTGGAATCAAAAATAAAACAGATAAAAGTTTTGGAGGATCAAGTTTCTGAAATGAGGAAAAAAGAGAAAAGCAATACCAATCTAGATTTGAAATTAAAAAAAGTGACCCGTGAATACGAGGAAATGTTTGATAGCATACAACAATTGTTCAATGATTTAAATAATAGCGATAATGGTTACAAAAAATCATCTAAATCAGGATCAGAGTTTAATCTTAATTTGTTTGTTTCAATGGTAAATGATAAGATTAAAGAAAATCGTGAATTGATTGAGAATGTTTCATTGTTACAAGAAGAGGCAAAAATTATACAACAGCAATTGAAGGAAGCTAAACAACAAGAAAAACTTAGGAAAGAATTACAAGATACGCAAAATGAATTGGAAGAGACTAAGGCAAAATTAGCAGA